TAGAGGCTGTTTTGTGAGCAAAACAAGGCCTTGCCCAGTATACTGGCTACTGTATTTTTAGATACTTCAATGTGCATAAACAATGCCTACACTACTTCTGTATCTGCCACACTTATCAGACTTACCTTACAAAAATTCAACACTTTATTGGCTCCTTTAATTGCTAGGGTGACGAAAGTGAACCGTTAACTGGCAATATTTTCGGAAAGGTATAGAACGAACCCCTCCCAGTGTAATTATCACGTGCAGTTTCGACAAACATGAAATTCAACCAGGCATTACAATTATTATTTGTTGAAACTGAATGAACTGTTAACCAAAACCACAACTTATGCCAACTATATTCAAAATGCTTTTGTTGCTTAAACTCAAGTAAACACTGCTGACTACCTAACTGCAATTCCCCTCAGTCACAGCAGATACATTTCCTGTACTGAGAAATGTTGCTGCTGAACAACAGGATGGAGCCAATTTAGTGCACCCTGCAGTGACTAAGATACAGGATTTACAGAGATGTGGTCATTTTCGGAAATGCTTGAAAAAAAATAACACACACACACATTCAACCCATATCCGTCCATTAAAATAAAAAGCTGCACGATACAGAAGGTACTTAGCTAGTGCAGTCTAAATTTTGCGAATGAGACAACCTTTTAAGGTACAAGAGACGTTTTTATTTAAAGTTGTTATTTGTTATCAGATGCTTTTAATTTTTTCACTACATTTCAAAAGGTAATATTTGATATTCATTTCTAATGCCTTGGAACATTTTTCAGCAGCTAACATTTTACAGATCACACATTAAACCTTATATGCAATGTACAACGTTTAAGTACTGGGACAATAACATATATCCAGGAAATGATAGGATATCTCGGAAACACCTGGATGGAAGTGTGTTAAATCTGGGATACAAGGATCAACTGATTAGAATCTGGTGGTCAAAGATCCTCACTCAACATATTTTTGACTTCCACTCAAATTCATATGCAAATTGTGAGAAATAGAAATGCCTAATATGATCAAATAGAGGTGATGACCGGTGAACTTCTGTGACCTTATAATGTTCTGTAAAAATGCTTTTCTGGCCATTACTCTCACTTACTTATTCAGCAACAGAAGATGTGATATTGGCCTTATTTCACATTTAGTTGGATACTGAATTGGTGACACTAATCTTTGGTGCTCACAATAATATTCACAACATCACTGCAAGCTTGTGTTTTATTTATCTACTTACTGAAATCTTTTTGTGGAGGTAGTTGCACACCACTTCAAAGACTCAGTGACCAAAGTTATAGCTAATGCTGGATTTATTCATTCATTTTTTATAACTGCAAATACACAGCATGAACATTCCCAATTTAAGAGCATTTACAGCCTATGTTTGAGATGCCTGTGATTCTCATAGGCTTTAAATGAGCTGTTCCAGAAACCAGTTTGGGATGATCTGAGCTTTGTGACATGGCACGTTAACAGGTTGATAAGAACCATCGTGATGACTTGATCTACAAAGAGGAACATATTGTAAAATAACTTTGGACATACAGTGTATGATGCCTCAGTTGCAGATACCCACTGAGCTTATCTCCATGCTGTTTGACTCTTTTATGGACCGACAACACTTTGTGCTTTGCCAAACTGCAGGCAGTCAACTGAGCTTGATTTGAATTATAATAACATCATAATGCATTCTGCAGGAGGATAATCGGACTTTTTTTCTTGAATGTACAGTCGCACATTGACAACAGCGGTGGAACAAAAGCCTCAGTTGTGTCCTTCAATTGCTTTTTCATGTTATACCTTATTTTATAAGAGTAGAAATGTACCTTGAAAAGAACACCACAAGAATCACTTGCAATAGTAGAAAATTGGATAATCTACATTACACACAAATAGGCTACAGCACATTTTATCCTCGTAGAGGGAATGCTGACATGACACAGGGGCCTATTCAGTGGCCTGACAAAAGCTCATTCATATCCAAGGCAGCACATCAGGGTGCATAAGACTAGGGACAGGCAATGTGATATAGAACCACTAAAGCCGTCATTTTGAGTTTTGTAAGCAAAATAACAGTTGCACATCAGAGTTCTTAAACTTTATACCTGAAAATGTGCATTTGTAGGTTTGACGTTGTCCCTCACTAAAATCAAATCAAAGCAAAGTTAATTTTATTGAACTTAATGTTCTCTGTGATGAATACTTGCAGGCTAACTTTCCAGTTTGTGTTCTCTGAGTGGAAATGGTGTAAAACAGATTTCACTACAGAAATCAGTCAGAAATAAGCTTAAAGCTTAGGCAATCGTGGCTCAAGAGTTGGGCATTCGTCTTGTAATCGGAAGGTTGCCGGTTTGAGCCCCGGCTTGGACAGTCTTGGTTGTTGTGTCCTTGGGCAAGACACTTCACCCGTTGCCTACTGGTGGTGGTCAGAGGGCCTGGTGGTACCAGTGTCTGGCAGCCTCGCCTCTGTCAGTGCGCCCCAGGGTGGCTGTGGCTACAATGTAGCTTGCCATTACCAGTGTGTGAATGGGTGGATGATTGTGTATAGTGTAAAGTGCTTTGGGGTCCTTAGGACCAAGTAAAAGCACTATACAAATACAGACCATTTAAAAATATTTATGCATTTTTCCACATAACCATCTGGGAAAATGACAAAATACAGTTTGCACCATAAAGTGTTACTTTATGGCTTTATTCAGTGGCATTATTAAACTAAGGCCAAACAGGTATGTGTGTGTATATATGCAACTTATCACTCACAGAACAAATCATAGGGACAAAATAATTGTTCATAGATTGAAATACTAGGAAATGTAAACAAGAAATGCTTTTATCTTTATTTACAGAAAGTGAAACACTTGATTCTGACCTGGTGTCAGCCTCTATGGACAAATGAGTGCCGCCACTAGTCGAAATTTATCAGAGTGACAGGATGTCACATGCCCTTGACACTGTGCTGATCGCTGACCTCTAAGAGCAGAAAAAGTGGCTAGGGCCTGCCATGCAGAAACAAACACAGCTGCTGTCCTTCATAGATAAACAAACCACAGTTACAGTACACTCACACAACTGCCGAGATGCTGTTTGTGTACCTCAAGGTGGATCTCATTTAAAGCATGAAACAACACTGGACTGTGTTTCCCTGTAGCTTTCTGAGCTCTGTTAAAGCACCTGCTAAGTACTGATTAGGTACCTGCAAACACACACGCACATTTGCAGAAGCACAAACACACACCGTGCTTTAATAGGTAGTGGTGGGTGAGGTAATCCTGCAGATACTTCAGGAAAATAGTTACCTCAATTTGACTCTGGAGCCCAGAGATTTACTTCGCAAAAATTGAAACATGTCTAAAATCAGCCTACATCGACTAAGAAAGGTGTTTTATGAGGAAAATCACGATAGCCCAGTGAGAGTCGGTAAAATCACGCGATACAGGATTTTTTTTTCCATTCAAATATGTCTTCCAGGCTTTATGAATGAACCTGGTTGTTGATTAGGCATTTTTAGTGCCGCCTGCTTATAGGGCACAACTAACATCAGTCAAGCGGGAAGACAAAGATGGATGGATGTCAGTGAAATTGCTTGTCTTCCATCCTCAGCAAACCCTTTCAAACAAGCACTAAGATGCTGAGAGAGAAGCTGTTCACTTAGATGTTAACGCCACATTTATGGTGTCAGGAGCCGCGATCTGCATCAAAGCGGCGCATTCTTCAGACCCAGGTGCCTCAGACGAGGGAGATCCTTCGTGATCGATCTGCCACCCATGGCTTCGAGAGACCACCCCCAAACAATCACAAACACACACATTCTTTTAAACGCAAGGGCAACCCCGACACACTTCATTGACATTCAAGACATCTTCTCCCATCACTGCAGATACAGTGGCAACTCTTTCTTTCAAACCCCTCCAACCCCCTCACCCACCTCACATACACACACGCTCACCCAGTATTGCACACACAAACAGATGTACACAGAGATTCCTGAAACACTCACCTCCTCCTGTGGTGCTGGTGGCTGAGGAATTGCCACAACCCATTTTGCATCGATGCAGCCACCGTCCAAGCTGAGCGGACACGTTTAATGAGTGGATGGACGGGGAGGACAGGAGTGGAATGTACAACACATTGGGAGAAGAGGGGAAAGTGGGCAGGAGAGGTGACAGAGGCACAAAGGGAGGGAAGGTCAAAGGAAATGCCTAGCAGGGACCTCCATTGGTTGTATCCCCTCCCCTGTCTTCAACCCTTGTGCCTGCCTACTGCGATGCAATGAAGAGCTCAGAGTGAAGTGACAGCATGGCGAGAGAGGCTTTTATACACACACACCACACTCACTGACAAGAGAGAACGAGGGAGAGGGGGGAATGAGGAGAGAGAGAGAGAGAGAAATATGCTTTACCCTCACATGATTTGCTCTTTTCCTCCACCCTGACAAGGTTGCCCGGGAAACCAGGGGAAAGGGGGCGGAGGGTGGAGGGAGAGCCAACCAATAAGGAGCTTCCTTTATATATAAAGGTGTAAAAAAAAAACTGGAATACATTGAATGGCATCAATATATCAGCATGTCTGTGTGGCATACTGTAAAATTCCCAAAGTGCCCTGTGTATGCTAAAATATAGAGAAGCAATACTTGTGCTTTTTTTACAGAGGCGATGCACACGTTCATGCTCACTCGTGACCTAAAGTTTATATACTTGAGCTGCTGGCAATCAGTGAGAATGACAATATGGAAAAACCTTGAACAGTGAACAAGTGGAACCACAAAGGGTCGTGCATAGGCCTCTTTATAGCCCCAAGTGATTCTCAGAACATTTCTGTTCTTCCTTTCACTCACGATGTATGCGCTTAAAATGCAAGAACAGTCACATGAGTAGAGTATGATGGCAAGAAGCATTACATTAGCACTCTGCACCAGTCAAACCAATTCACACTTTCTGTTAGCGGTGTTATCTATATTATAATGGGAGTCGAGATGTTTAAAATTCAAATGAGAAGTTCTCAGAGGATAAAAAAGACATCATGAATTCCCTTTCTGTTTTATGCTAGATGGACTCATTTCCAAAGGCCCTTAAACAGGCCTGAGATGCTTCTTATGTGTAGATGAATTGATGTGTGAGACTAATTTTATTCAAATTTCTCATTTACAATTACAAGTGTCTAGAACGATAAGAAGACTTTGTGTAGAGTAAAGTCAGTCTTAAACTGTTGTGCACAATCCATTGCAATCTGAAGTAAAATACATTATAGGAAAAATGCTTTTTGGCCTCATGCTTGCTCTTTATGTGCGCTGTGAGAGGACTGATGACACTGCCATCTGTCAGTTCATTGTAAAACTGGCAGCTGGTTAGCTTAACACACTGACTGAAAACGGGAGGAAACAACTATACTGGGGCTCTATCCAAAGGTGGGCTGCAAAAATCAGCTTTGGACCTGATTCACCTCCTTACACAGCAAGAGCTGATGGCGCTTGTGAGGACGCAGGGCGTAAGAGATCTCGGGGAAGTCAGCGGCCACTTGGAATGGTTTGCTGCTACCACAATGAAGGAGTGCAGAATGCCACGGAGCCCCCCAACAGCAGCTTCCACCTGCTTGGATGTACTTCCAAGCTTTGGTGAGCTACTATCAGTTGCAGCTCAGATTGTGCTAATGAACAACTTTTCTCTCTAAAAGATCATCTTTCTGCACCTGTCACTGTTAGCCACCCACACATAGAATCATAAAAAAGGGACCTTGAGTGGTAAAGCATCTGCATGAAATTCACCACATCCAGTCTTTATGGTACACAAGAGCAGGACAGAAGGCACATTTTAAACGTCTGGGGGTGAACTGTCAGAAAAGGTCTCAACACAATCTGATCAAGAGATCATCATGGATGGTTGACCTTAGGCCATGTAAATAAGTAAGCATTGTCTAGTTATATTGCAGTGTTCAAGATCAAAAGTCACAAAATAAGACATAACAATTAAAACAGTATAAACTGTTTAAACTAATTAAAGGTGATTGTGGGCTGGTGGGTCCTAATCTCCTCTTGTCCTTAACTTAGATCTAGGTGCAGCCAGCAAGCTGATCTCAGAGACCTAGCAACTGCATGTGGATGATGTAGAAGACTAATAAATCCAAATCCAGGACATCTGATTATGAAGCGCTCTAAATGTGATGACCAAAACTGAACCCTAAATTTTACCAGCATGAAGAAGATCAAATCGGCGTCACAATGGACCTTATAGAGGACCTGGTGAGTAGTTTCGTAGTAACATTGAGAACCGATTCAGGAATAATTTCCTCAGGCAAAGCAATAATGAATTACATTAATCGAGGTGTGAGAAACAAAAGAATAAACGGCCATTTCCAAATCACACTGAGACACAATGTATGTGTCAATAAATGAGACACAATATATATTAACACCCAGGCGTTAGCTAAGCAATCTGCTTTCTTAACAGCTGTTTTAAATGTATATGAAAGGATCTGTATGACTAGTCTGTGGGATTATATGGTTACTGGGCAGAGGTATGAGTTGAAAGCAGAGGATCTTCTGGATAAAAATGTGTCAGTATTTCAAAAGATGTCTGTCATCCCCTTTATGTTTGTAGGAGAAGTTCTAAAAGTTTTGGTGCTCGTCTGACTTTTGCTTTGGCACCTTGACAAGGTTTATAACTGCATTATCTGTGAGAAAGGTTGACAGAGGGATAGTGATCACATTTACCTCATGAACATCAGTGTAATTATTTTATATCAACAAGACTGAGATATTCTCAGTCTATTTTGCATTTACACTTTGTACTTAGCACTATTTAGGAACTGTTAGAAGGCTAACATGCTAAAATTAGTATGACTTAGTTTGACTTTTAAGGTATGTTTTGACTAGGTGGGCTTTACTTTAGCCCTAGAAAAGCAAAAATTATTAACTGTACGCCAGATAATCAGTGGCAATGCAGCTTGCTCCTTTCAGGGTGGTCTTTGGTTAGCTGAATCACTCTTTCATTTAAAAGAGGCTATCCAGACATTATGCATTGCTGTTTTACCAGACTTCAAGCATAGTTCATTATCAAAGTTAGAGCTGAAAAGCTATGTCTGATTTACAGCCACAACTACACCAATTAAACAAGGCAAGTCCACTGGGGAGCGAAGAATGATGTCCCACTCAGACTGCCTGGAAGCTTGATGAAGAGGCTGTGCTTGTCACAGCTTGCCTAGATTATCGAGGCACAACACAACATGACATGGCCATCCTAACAAGTCAACAAGACACTTATTCACATTGGGAAAAAAATGTAAAATACTACATGAGTGCATATTACATGCTGTCTTCTTACTGTGCCACAGCCTAATATAGCCGGATTTGTTTTAGGTTTTTAAGTTTTAGGGCTGATGTTAATACAGATTTTTACAGAGAGAAAAAAATAGTGAGTACTCTCATATTCATTATATCAAAGTTATATAAAGGTTTAACTTTGCAAAGGTTTATTTCTCAAACTACCTGTTAGGACAAAACAGTACATATGTTTTAGTTGTTGTTTTTATTTTACTTTGTATAGCCTTTTGCAGTAAGTGCGATTTAATCAGAGAGCCAGAAACGCAGCACATCACATGCTCAGCCAATTTGTCAGTCGCGATTGATGCAAATCAAGACAAGAGCTTCTGGTCCTGATTACTTACCAGACTAAAATGTAATTTTAAAAGGTTTGTGCAACTTATCACCATCCGTCGGTCTACATCCATTTATCTCTCAATAAATACTAACTGCTTCCTCATATCAATCAATAATCTTTTTGTTTTGTGCTTGTTTTTTGTTGTTCCACAAAGTAAAGGAACATTTTATTTTGTCATGAGTGGAGTGAGCTTTTCTAGGGTAATAGTGCCACTAAATGGATTGATGAGTATAAATTTTATAGAAATGTTATGTTATCTATACCCAGCTGAGCATCTATGTCTATAGACATTGGTCCAATAAATCAGACAGTGCCTTCTCCCAACACTTAAACAGGACTCCAGTAGAATTCAGTGGCGCACTAATGTTTTTCTACTGGCACATGATGATCCATCCAGAGGTTGGTGGATGGGATAGGTATCAGATTGATACTTTGTTCCTATCCTCTAAGTTCAGTACGGAGCATAATGAATTAGGATACATTATTTATGTTTTGTTTTGTTTTTCCTTTGTTTTTTTGGAAATGAAAAAAATATCCGCTATAAAAAATGTCTGAACCCTTTTGTGTTGACTGTCAAATCTATTTTTATAGCCTATAGCACATTTAAACAACAGTAAATAGAGAGAGGAACATTTAGAATTCGGAAAAACCAAATTTCAAAATACATGAAAAACTGAAATGTGTGTTTGTTTTATTAAACTCATTAAAATGTGTTCAGAATTTGTCTATTAAGGAGGCTTTATCTCATACAACATGACACTGCTCTCCACTCCGTAAGCTTTATAGCTTTAAATCGTGGCTGTCAGTATTGGTATCGGCAGTAGTGGCCTTTGATTTACTTGATATTGCATCGATACTAAATAGTATAGTACTGCGCAGCACTAAATTCCGTCACGTCACAAAGAAACTTTGTGTTGTTTTTCCTTTAAATTTGTTTAAAGCCCTATTTGAAAAATCAATGCTGCAATTCTT